AGATTGCTTTTGGCAGAATATTTTCAAATTAATCCTACAAATACAAGAGTGTATAGACAGATTTTCCATCTTCTGCTATCTCTAATTTTAAGTTTCCATTGTATACCAATCTTTTTTTAAAGATTTATTTATTAAGTATACAGTGGTCTGCCTGCAAAGGGCACCAGATCTCATTACAGGTGGTTGTAAACCACCATGTGGTTGCTGGGAATTGAACTCAGGACCTCTGAAAGAGCAGGCTCTGCTCTTAACCACTGAGCCATCTCTGTGATTAGATCTACCCCAAGAGATGGACCTGAGAATAGCCACTGTGAACAGAATTGTTTCCCTGTTTATTTCTTAGTTTGTCATTGGTATCTAGGAAGACTAGTAATTTTTGTTCTTTGTATCCTACCACTTTGCAATATAGTTTCCTAGTGAACTCTTGAGTTTTAAGGATACTTTTACTTCTTTCCTATTTGTAGCTCTCTTACTTTCTTCTCTTGGATTACTGTTCTAACTACAACTTCAAGTACAATCTGGCAACAGTAGTAAGAGGATGAACATCCTTTTCTTGTTCCTGAGTTCTCCATTTAGCATACTGCTGCCTGTGGGCTTATGAATATTGCCTTTATTATACTTTGTATCCCTGGATTCTCCATAACTTTTATAAGGGAATCTTAGATTTTCTCCATGCTCTTTTCTCCATCTGAGATGATCATGTGATTTCTGTCCTTGAGTCTACTTATATGATGGAGTACATTTGTTGGCTTACATGTGTAAATCATTCCCTCATCTCTGGGATGAAGATGATTCATCATTTTGGATGTTTTCTAAAATTCAGTTCACACATATTCTACTGAGAATTTTTTGTATCTATGTTCATGAAGGAACTTGTTCTAGAATTTTCTATTCGTTTATTTATCTAGTTTAGGTATCTGGGTCAGTCAGTGTTCATAAAAATAATTTGGAGGTATAATTTCCTTTTTTGTTTTATGGAGCAGTTTGAGGAGCATTGGTTTTAGCTCTTTGAATTTCCTGTAAAGTCCTGTGGTAAACACATCTGAACTTGGGTTTCTACCTCGCTTTTGTTTTAGATAGGTTTTTAAATGATGTTCCAATGTCATTTATTACAACTTTTAAATATCTTCTTTGTTTAACTTTGGTATGTCAGATTCATTAAGAAATTCATCCATTTTTCTCAGCTTTCCCAATTTAGTAGAATATGGGCTTTGAAGTGTATCCTTAAAACCCTCTGGATTTAACATGTGTCTCTTATAACACCTCCTTTACACCTCTAATTTTATTAATTTGGGTCGTTGCTTTAGTGACACACATCCTCCAAGGCCATGCCTCTAACCATTTCCAAGCAGCTCCACTAACTAGGGACCAAGTATTCAAACATACTTGAACCTCTATTCTCATCCAAACTACAACCAGTATTACCAAGAAGGTAAGATAACTGAACTTTGAAAAGTTCTGGGTAGCTGTCAATAAATATGAATATAGTGCATGTACTACGGCTTTGCAATCTTATTCCTAGTAGGAAATATAGAGCTATGTGCACAAAAACCCATTTACTTGGTAACTGTGGTAGTACAGTTCCCAAGTCAGAAATGAACCAAAACACCATTGGACAATGTTGTTTATTCACACAACGGAATACTGTACAATCATGAGAACAATGTACAACTGTTGAGAATAAGAATCTCATGAACACTGACTGACAAGTGAAAGCTAAAGAATGTAGTTTTAATTTCATTCACATATTCCAAGCCAGATGAAACAAGATTTTTGCTTAGAACCGGATGGTGGTTGTAGATGGGAAAGCAGTGAGTGGAAGGCAGTCTCCAGCTTCTGGCTTATGAATTCATGCATGTTCTATGAGGAATCCAACCGCCTGGATAGATATAACACTTCAACAGAGATTAAACAAGCAAATCCACAAAATCAGGTCTACATACTTAACTGACACTAAAGCATCATTTCTGTATCTTCTCTTAGAGACTCTTGTACTGATACATCCACACAGTGAGGTTGGAGGAACACCATCACCTGCAGTGTATACAGATCCCACAAGTCTGGTTAGAAGACCAGTCTCTACACTGTGAAGATGAGCTAGTCTGTTTCCAACCAGGCACCCTATTTACTGGGGCACCTTACTGAGGAATTAACACACCTAAATGCCTCAATAACTAACAACCAAGGCTGCATGACTCACCTGTTCCACCCTTGGAAGTGAGTATGTAAGTTATGTTTTGGTTTTGAGAAAGTCTGTATCCTCTCTCTGACATTCAGTCATCACGCATAAGTGACTCTACTCAGTCATAGTCTTCACTTACTGATGAGAGTCAGTCTGTAAAGTGCTCAGAGGCACTGAAGAGGTGTATGAGTCAGCTCCAGCAGGCTTGAGGCTCTCTGTATAGGTTAAGCCATCAGAGGATTGGTAGGGACTGACAACTCCTCAACTGCTCTCCATCAACACTGTATACACTAGAGTGTTTTCCCAAGTAAATTCTAGACCCAAATAATTGCATGTCAGCATTAGGTCCTACTACAGTGCAGATTTGTCCCCAAGCCAGCTAGCTCCAAGTTGTGTCATTTTCACAAATAGCCCATGGGATCTTCATTTCTAAAGATTTATTTTACTTATATGTGTCTGCATGTTTGTGCATGTGTGCAGGTACCAGCCGAACCCAGAAGAGAGTGTTGGAAGTCCCTGCAGCTGGAATTACAAGCAGTTGTGGGCCACCTGATGTGTATGTGGGGAACCAAAGTCCAGTCCTCTGAAAGCGTAGCAAGCATTCTTAACCTCTGAGTCGTGTCTCCAGCCACTGCTCTTCATTCTGAAACTCAACCTTGGAGGATACCCTGTGTGGCAAGCCTGGGAATGTCTCACAGCTCCTCTGAACCATCCTCACCACTGAGCCCAAAATAAGAGACTCTTCCTGGATTCTGTAATGAAAAGTCATGCCTTTCTCATGAGGTACTACAAGTCCTGACAGAATTAAGCATGTAGGTTCCAAGTTTGCTGGAAAAAAAGTCTCGTTTGTTGATAAAACAGAAGAAAATGCCACCTTCCCATTCTTGTCCTCAAGAATTCATCTTGAGTCATTTAACTTCAGCAAGGAGCAGTGTAGGGGTTGAGGCTGAACAGATAAGAACAACACAAAAAGAAAAAGGCAGCCGCCAGAACTGTTTCCTGCAGAGTGGCCTCATGGGAATCTCCTATGTCTATGACAGGTATAATGACTAGATCCCATCTCAGACCCAGTCCAGTTCTCTATGATTCCTCAGCAAAAGGCCTAGGAACTCCACATTTCTCTTCTTGGTGCTTGGGATAACCATCAATTACTCCACCCTTTGAGGAATTCTTCTCTCCTAAATACAACCCATGGAATGGAATGGAAAGGACAGAAAGAGACTAAAAATTGATGCATTACCTGTTAACTAAAATCATGAATTGTGACAAAGCTTTCCCAACCTGCTAAACTATCAAAATACTTAGCAGTGTCTTCCCTAGGAATAAAATGAGCCTAAATTTCTAAGAGCAAAAACTTTCATTCCCACACCCCAAACCCTGCACAAAAGGTACTCTCTAATACTATGAACAGTGACAATATATAAACTGATTATACTTTTAATTTGTAACAATTATTTTTATTTTGTATGGATGAGTGTTCTAGCTGCATGTATGTATATGCACTATGTGCATGCCTGGTACCCATGGAGACCAAAAATGGTGTCACATGTCCAGAAACTGGAGTTAGAGACAGTTATAAGCTGCCATGTGGGTGCTGGTAACTGAATATTGGTCTTCTACAAGAACAGCCATAACTCTGAACTGCTGAGCCATCTCTCCAGCCTAAAGCTTACTTTTAAAGCAAGTACCATAGATTTTTATAGAAAGCATGATCTTTGTAGATTGTCCTTCAAATAAACGTTTTAAAAAGAATATATAATTGCATTTGCTCTCCACTTTTTTGATGTATCTAAAGGCTGTCATATTTCTTAAATGTACAACAGCAGTTCACACAGGCATCAGTTCTAGAAGTCAATTCTGTAATTGACAATTTATGACAATTTTATTGGTTGTGAGACAGCAAGTAAATACTTGGAAGGCAGCCATGCCAACCTCTATACGATATATGCCTCAATAAATGCATGTCTGAATGACAATTAGACAGTAGGCTCTGCTGTGTGAATACCAATCATGGAAGAAGGAGCATGGCTTGCTTGTTTGGGATTTGGAAGGATACAGAATCTAACTGAGGTCTCCTATTGGTGAGGATCCATCTGAAGTCGACCTCTTTTCCTCACTGCACACCTCGTGCTGCACGTGCATACATGCACTTAGGAAAATATGTAACAGGATTATGACACGGCATTTTCACAAATCTTTAAAAAAAAATCTAACCACTGAATCATTGTCCAACGAAGAAAGTTAAAAGTACCTTAATTAGTCTCAGTGATTAGATATATTAATTTCTATGGAAGGAAATTCTTAACAGAATACCAAACCATTCCACGATATCTCTATGCTGCCATCTAAAATTTTCTATAGAGTCTCAGAATTTCATAGTATTAGCAAACAGTTATTTTATTGAAACACAGTCAAAATCTAGCCCGGTAGCTCTTAATAACAATCTAAAATCAAGTTTTAATCTCATAACTTTAGCAATATATAACTGAACACTTACATTCAAATGTATAGAACACAATCCATTTCATACTGAAAAACACTGTAACAAAACTTGGAGTGCACGGCGGCAAGTTAGCACTCCTTAGCCAATTCTACAGTTGTTGTAAATTCAACTCTGTAAACACACTCAGCAAATCACAGCACTGGGGAGAGGTCAGGTGCTCTGACATGCTTTGTTATAGTTTTTGATAGCAGAGGGAACCAATTCTTAAACTATTACATAAAAATAGATCTTAAAGACAAAGAATTCTTATGTACACACACACACACACACACACACACACACACACACACACACACACA